CTACGCTATGCAATCCAGATGCTGACAGCACCGTAAAAATAACCATAAAAAAAGTTTGGGGGTTTCCAAAAAAAAACGCCCTTTGCATGTCTTTTTGTCCAGGCATGCAGAAGGGAATCGTGATGAAATCTGTCAAGAGATACCAACACAAAATCAATGTATTGTAAATGTAACCTTGAAGTTATTAAAATTTCACTTCGTAGTCTCTTATGTCACGTGGTATTCTAACCACACTGGGCAAGATAAACGGATTACTGTTTATCAGACTTTACGAAATGACAACATGATCCATAAATCATTAGTGACACAACATTTGTAAATGTGGTCTGCCGACATTCCCAGAACTTCAATTTTATGGTTGGAAGAAGAAATTGTACTGGATGCTAGTTACTGTGATTAAATGGACGCTGGCTTTCCACCGCTGCGGCCCGGGTTCGATCCCGGGTCTGGTCAAGTGGGATTTGTGGTGGACGAAGTGGCGCTGGGGCAGGTTTTCTCCGAGTACTTCGGTTTCCCCTGCCAATCTTAATTCCACCAATTGCTCCACAGTCACCCTCACCTATCATCTGGGGCTGGTACAATAGGCCAGAAGTGGCCGCAGTACAATGGACTTTTAGTCCCACGCCACTAGCAATAAAAAAAGTTTATTTTGAAGTAAATTGTGATACCTTCTGTAGCTGATATTACAGTTCCCACAATTTTGTAATTTATTTAACAAATTGCGCAGGTAAAAATATTTACAACTTCAAGAAATTGTGTGCATTCTGCGACTTTTGTACGTGTACACATTTCAATAGAAGAAAATGAAGTTTTCGCATTTACTTCATAATTTGTCTTCGTTCATTTTCTCAGACACGTTTAAAATATCAGCATTTTTATTCTTAAAATGTTATTGTGTCTCGGATTTATAAGATTTATAAAAAGATATCTCGTAGATGTACTTCCGTAGAACCAGGAAAAGGGTGTGGTTTTATCAGAGAATTAATAATTAATTAATTAATTTTCTTCTGGAAAGGGAAACAATTTTGCGTTCAGTATATTTTACAGAACATAACGGATACGAAACAGTCATAATGTAATTCCATCTGTAAAACCCTTAAAAATCACGACAGCTGGACAGACAGATACTTGTGAAATATTATGTAACACAACGCTGGATTAGTTGCCTGTAACAGGTCCAGTCCCATAGCCAAACCTCGTTAGTTACAATACGTGCATTTGTTCCTTTTCTCTCCTCCGAACGTACATAACGACAAGGACAGATATATGTGTAAGTCTACCGCTGCATGTCATAGCATCTGTACGTGAGAGATAGCATTTGGTTTTAATCGTTCGTAGATAGCAGCATAATCACCCGGCGCAGGCTACAATAGGCCAATCAATGGCCGCCGTGCAGATTGGACCCAGTTGGACTCCAACCCCCACTAAGCGAATTAAAAAAAAAATAGTTAATACACCGTGTTTCTAGAACATCAGCTACAAGCTTACTGGCTAGGCTATTGAAAAGGTACCGTTGCTCAGGAAAAGCCCACATACTGCCAGAGATTCTATAATTCTTTTTTTTTTATTATTTCAAAATGGACTTGTTCAACTGCATGGAACGTCAATTCTCAGAAAGAGACTTTGGAGTAGGTTACATGATCCCGTATAAGGCACGATAAAATTACACTGTGAAGGGAATTGCTATTTCATAATGGATGTCACATGCTCTTTTAATGTTTATTATTAATACAAATATACACAGCAACATAAATAAGAACATGGTGGGTATACAACATCCAATAAACATAAAGTTAGAATGTCATCATTCGGTCTAGATTTCCAGCCAAAATCTAGGAGAAACAATGCATGCCATATACACACGCTGACGGGAATGTTTAGAAAGGGTAGCGCTCACTTCTTGTGTTCACTGCTGGCGTCCTCGCTAGAGTTGTCTTTCCTACAACAGTAAAACAAAACAGCATCAAGCTGCGGAAAAGAAGAGGTAAAAGGTAAAGTTATCCTTTTAACAGGCCGTGGAGGCCCATAGGGTTGTGAGATGTTGAGACTCCCACATTTTATAGACAATCGTCTCACAGATGGCGGTGAGGTTGTCTGCCTAACGTGCCGGCCGCCCTTTGGCCCCAGGAATATTCCTGGTACTCATTTCTGTTAGAGGCTGAGTCGAAACCAGGGCCATAGAGGGGCTGGAAGGACTAGGTAAATTGGAAAAAAAAAGCAAAAAAAAAACACATAATCGGGATGCCATCCCGCAACCTTCCGGCTTGTAGCATAGTGCCTCAACCAACTAGACTACCGCGTACTCCAGAAAAGAAGAGGTACTTAAGTATTAATCGGTGATCCAAGTTACTTTAAATTTTGCCCGCACCTATAGCACCTCCATCCTGGAAGTCTATTTGCAAGCACAAGACCCAAAGGCTAACCCTGGAGTTGAGGCTCTCACAGCTGTGGTTATGACGAGTTCTGTCGTGTAGGACGCCCCAGGAACATGTCGCCTCCATCTTGAGGCAATAGGCAGTTCTTGCCTACTGCCTGCTTCATTCTGGTTCCTTGCTTTGCTTACTTTTAAACTCTGAAGATGGAAACGACATCTTCCTTCGAAGCTTCAGTTGACATTCAGTGGACTACACGGCTTTATATCCCAGAAGATATTATTCTTAATAGCCACCGATGGAAGAATCTCATATCCAACAAGTTTTTTACATATTGTGGCGTATAGACCTGTTGTTAGCGTTGACTGTGAACAGCTGCAATTACTAGGTAACGACAGCAACACACAGTATTATGACTCATGCATGCCCCGCCTACGATTTTGCGGCAGACAACCATCTACCGAAATTGCAGCACCTGCAAAACAAATTTCTCAGCACCACTGGCAACTTTCCAAGGCTCACACCGGTTCACGATTTGCACATGGCTTTAAAACTTCCATACATATATGTTTATATAAGAAAATTATGGAAGCAACAAGCAGAAGTCATGCAAAATCATGAAAATGCAAGTGTTCGCAACATTGGACAAGGCTAACCCCGACACAGAAAATGTAAGAGGCTTAAACTTGGCGGCAGTCAAGCATACGACCGATCAACTGGGTAGACTGTCGTAGCAGGAGCTACTAATGGTAGAGCATGATCTCCTGTACTGAGCCTGGACTGACAGAGGCTTTGTGTATGTTGTAATACACGTAAATAAATTTAATAGCATGCAAAATATAAATTGTAAATAATGAAAACAGACTTATTACTGCTGACTGTGGCTCTGGCAAACGACAGACCTCGGCCTCCTATTAGCGAGGGCGCCCCACATCAACAAACACGCAACTGTCTGACAGTAATAAATGTCTGGTCGTAAGCCCCAGATGGGTGCTTTGTTCCAAGACAAACTGACCAACTGACCGTCGGTCGTAACATAAATTTGACTCTGACTTTGACAGTTCAGTTGGGTTCTGCATGGGAGGCTGTGAATAGAGGACCTGGACGCGTGAATCTGAATGATCTCCACTGTTAGAAGCCGTTGTCAGGAAACGGCTGGTGAAGGCAGCGGGCTAGAAGAGACTTAGCGGGTGCTGTGGTGATTTGTGAATTGTGGAGATTAGCGGCGACGCTGTAATTGCTTGTAGTTCTGAGTTGAGTGTATAAGTTGTCAACAGATCCATTCACCAATCCAAACTCCGTCTATAGTCACACATGCTACGTGACAGCATTTTAATTCTCCTAACTAATTTCGTATTAGGGTCTATACAGATCCCAATGAAAGTGTCGTGCAGTAATTCTCCCTTCACTGAACTGTAGGGTCTCTTGATGTCCTGCCCCATTTTAGTCCCTTTCTTCTCAAGATCTGACGAATGCAGAACATGCTATTCGTATTTTCGTAAGTGTATTGTAGTTTACTGAGTTATATCACCATTCAGTGTGGTTGGCGGGTGCCATAGTTTCGAAGGAGCATACTGCTTCCATCTTCAAGATAAAAGTAATTAATTATAGTTTGTATGTTTGCTTATATTAAGGAAATATTACCTGTTGTAGCAGCGGTACAAGTTGGTGATGCCGGTGTACATACATGACACTTGCTTGTTTCCATCCTCCTCCGCTTCAAGCAGCACATCCACCAATCCGACGGTCTCTGAAACATCAATATATGTGACTGTCGTTACATGGTTCTACTCTGCAGGTGGAGAAATTCTATTCACTGTATTTAATATGGGTAATTAACACGGAATAGCAGTTAACCGTATTGTTATCCATTGAAAAATCAGATAGCAAGAGAGTCTACTCGATATAATTCTTACCTGTTTTTTTTTTTTTATTGATGTGAACGTTAACCATACTAAGGCAGTAGTTTGTAGAGCTTGAGGCGGGACCTCCTGTGGGGTACGGCTATTGGCTAACAGGAGGTTCTCAGCATATATTCTCGAACAGTTAAAAAAAAGTAAACTAAAGCTGTCCCTGTAACAGGCCGTGAAGGCCCATAGGGTTGTGAGACGTTGAGGGTCCCACATTATCTAGACAATCGGCTCAAAGATGGCGGTAAGGTTGTCAGCCGTACAGTTACATAGTAAAATTGGAAATTATTATAATTCTCGATATGTCATAGATCGATTTTTCAATTTAAAGCATTTGTAAAGTGTTGGTAAATATTAATAATTGGTAGGAATCTAAAATGTGTTGATTTTAGAAATGAAAAATTAAAAAAAAAAAACAATTATATATATATATACAGAAGTAGAAAAAGCGACGGTTGTGGGCACGCGGTAGCGTAGTTGGTTGAGTCGCTATGTTACAAACCGGAAGGTGGCGGGTTCCACTTCCGGTGAGGTCATTGCATTTTTTAAATTGACCTAATCCTTCCAACCGCATTATAGCCCTGGAGTCGACTCAGCCTCTAACAGAAATGAGTACCAGGAATCTTTCTGGGGGGTAAAGGGCGGGAGCTTAGACGTCTCACAACCCTAAGGGACTCCATGGCCTGTTACAGGGATAGCTTTACATTTTGGGGGATTGAAGTTCTTGCGAAGCTGAGGGTCTCTATTTTATGAGGCTTAGAAATCTCTGTTCCTGGGGAAGAACATAGATTGGCGGTGCCTGAGAACATGGCAGTGGACGTAAGATGGACGAAATTGCAGGCTACGGAGAGAACTGCGCAATGAGGAAATGAATAATTTATTTGCCGCAGTAGTCTAAGCTATATAACGTTTAATAGTAGCCTAATTTAAAGCAAGACATTTGCCTATAGAAACTGAGGAAATATATAAAATCCAGTAAGGATAGGTCATGTTCCGACCGAGCTTCGAACTGGGTAACTCCATAATCTCTGTAGCTGAAATAGCGTCGTTAAATAAGTCCATGAATCTTATCACAGTAAAGCGTGTCGCTTGGTGATGTCATTCTTCAGCGGTACGTACCGTCGGTGGTTACGGTTGGCGTCTCGCTCCTTTTACCGTACCGGCTACCGATGAAGAACCTGTCGTTCCTTACAGCCACCTGCACAGGATTGCTTCCTCCTTGTTGCCGCCTCCCGCCGCCACCCCCACTGCTGCGTCCGTAACGACTGCCGCTCCAGAACATGCCTGAAACATAGCGTCGCCTTGGCATTACAGCGTCTTTCATGTCTAGCAGAGTGCGTCTTGAAGTAATGAAGATCGGAGTGCTATATTTCATAGTGCCAAATTTTGCGGATAGAGGGTGTCGCGTGGACAGCGCAACGGATCCCCACGGCTGTTAATCTCGGTTTTCTAGACCGGAACCGCTACTTCTTTGAACTAACTCCTCAATTGACACTAACTTCGCCGACAGGTCGCGCCATAGTTCAAGTGGCTAGTCGCTGGGCGACCCGTGTTCGATCCCGGGTCTGGTCAAGTGGGATTTGTGGTGGACAAAGTGGCGATGGGGCGGGTTTTCTCAGAGTACTTCGGTTTCCCTTGCCAAATTTAATTCCACCAAATTCTCCATCATAATCACCCGGGGCAGGTACAATAGGCCATCAGTGACCGCCGTGCCGAGTGAATCCAGCTGGACTCCACCCCCCACTAAGCGAATTAAAAAAAAATGATATAACTTCGCCGACAAGCGGCGGTCGCTCGGTCGGTATAGTTCACTTGCGGAGTGAAAGCCACGAAGTTTTTTACATTTCACAGCAGGCCTAGGAATTTGTGATACTTCTCTCAGCAACGTCAGTATCGGATAATAGCGCGTATTCTGAACCATAATTCTCTCAGAAAGTCTTTAACTCCATCAACTATGGCCACGAAAGTGCGTCATTCCCCGTTAGTGATGTAGCAGTTAGGCTATCATCAGAACGTTACTGGATTCTATTTCAGCCATACTTGAGTATTCACACGCCGGTGGCAAACTCATTCTTACATGGGACTTTAGGCCGTGCCATAGCTCAAGCGGTTAGTCGCTGGATCTCCACCGGAGCGGCCCGGGTTCGATCCTGGGTCTGGTCAAGTGGGATTTATGGTGGACAAAGTGGCGCTGGGGCAGGTTTTCTCCGAGTACTTCGGTTTCCCCTGCCAATCTTCATTACACCAATTGCTCCACAATCACTCTCACCTATCATCTGGGGCTGGTACAATAGGCCAGAAGTGGCCGCAGTATAAGGGACTTAGTCCCACCCCTCTAGCAATAAAAAAATACATGGGACTTTTCTTCCGTAAGGTTGCCTACACGAGCTATGACGTACCCTTGTTCGTAGAGTGGATGAGCTTTTGTCTGTCTGTGGCTTAGTACCATCACCTAATCAACTCTCACCATTCCTTTTAAAATTCGAAATGGAATACTCGCCATAAGTTACAGGTAAATTCCTATTTTCACCCATAGTTTTACAAAAAAGAATCCACCCTCCTTATGGATATAAATTAACTTTATGTATATTGAAATCACATAAGCAGAACGCAAGGAATCTCAACAAACGGCAGAGGAGGTTGCTGGAAATGATGTGCGTTTCTACCGTATTTCCAGGCTTTTTCTCGGTGCCATAGCGTCCAGACCGTTTCTGGGGCCCAATTATCCTCCCATCCCGCGGGTATCGACGGCTCTTTCTCGAGGCTAAAGCGGCTGTAGCATGAATCTGACCATTCAGGTCCACCTTGTGCCGAAGGTAAGAATGGGTCCTCTTTGTTTGGTGCTTAATTAAGCAGAGGACAAATTTGTTTTTGTGGGATTTTCCTCACGGCGATGACTGAGATATGATTCCATGTAGTCTGGTAGATAATTGCTAACGTTTAAGACTGATTGCCTGCTTCCATCTTCAGGGTAGAAGTGTAATTATTCGTAATTATACTCTTTGAGTAAGAGTAGTTATTCTTGTGTCCTGAAGATGGAGGCAGTAGGTTCCGCCGAGACCTGTTTATTGCACATCACACGGTGTTAGATCCCTCCCAAACTACTATAAAGTTTACTGTCGTTTCGGTGTTCATATTTGCGCAATCGTGGAGTGTGCTGGTGGTCGCCGAAGGAAACAGTTGAAAAGCGGGACCAGGTGCGGAGAGAACTCATAAAACGTGAAATATGACATTCTTTCCGAAACTTGCTCGAACACAGGGAACAGCGTGAGAAATGAAAATGTTACCAGCTTTTACACTTGGCCATCTTTATCAATGTTGCTATTTTTAGTTTATTTCTCCGATTTCGCGACTCCACACATCACCAGACACGTTAAATCCGTGTCTTAAGCGTTGAAGAGCTGGTTTATAAATATAATTTATGCAGCATTGCCCAGGATCACTCTTTTGTGGCATGTGACGCCGTTTAGCCTGGCGGAAAGCTAATTTTGGGAGCCATCTTCAGGAAGTGCTGCTTAAACACGGGCAGCTTATTAGCAGAAAGCTAATTATCTTGACAAAGTATGAAGATTAATATGTAAGATTTGAGGCTTTCACGGCGGTGACTATGAAGAAAGCAGTCTTCTGGGATTTNATATGTATGAGGATCGAGAAGAGTGTAAAGACATCGGCCCTTCAAGGGGACATACAACAAGCGCTTTTCAAAGTTGCGAATTCTCCTGAAAAAGGCTTTTGTTAGTATTTTGAATAGACCGTCTCTGTGGTCTAGTGGTCAGAGTGCCTGGCTAAAGATTAAAAGTTCCCGGGATCGATTCCCGGCGCTACCACATTTTCTGAGACGTAATGGGTCTGGAACGGGTTTCACTCAGTCTCGTGAGGATAATTGAGGAGCTGTTTCAAGGAAATAGCGGCTCCTGTCTAGAAAACCGAGATTAAAGGCTGTGGGGATCCGTTGCGCTGACCGAGCGACACCCTCTATCCGCTAATGTTGACACTAAATTCAACGACAAGCGGTGGTCGCCCGGTCGGTATAGTTCGTTTGCGGACTACAGGTAACGGAGTTCTTTAGTATGTTGAATTAATTCAAAGCGTAGACATGGCATAGACTGAAAGTAATAAAGAGGATAGATAATGTGAATTAGCAAAGTAAAGCAGGGAGAAATATACTTTCACTGATATTATTAAACACCGAAATTTTCGGAAAGTAAAAGAGACTGATGTTCCTGGGAATAAATTTCGTTCCTGTTATTTAAAGTACAAGATAACTTCAAAATCAACTTATCAACTTTTTATCTCCACATAAAACATTGAAGCGATCACACTTCTTTGCCGTGAAACGTTTCGTCAATACATCACGAGATTCAGAAAGAAATAACAATGACGTCATCGCTTTCACATGTCCTGCGATGTCATTCCATCACATGTAGACGGCACTGGAATCGATCGACTACAAAGGCAAAAACATTTATTTTTCGTTGTGACTCAATAAGAGTATGAGAATTGAACCCGTGGCTTCACAACACAAGGAAGTGATTGTTGTGCATCCTGGTGAATAGATTGCCGCACCGCGGGGCTCTTCAACTACATATTTTTATTTCACGTAGCCGGAATCAGTTGGAGTTGTGGTAATAAACTGTCATCTCCTTCTGCATTCCTTTGTGTGGTACGTGACGAATTTCAGACTTTTCGAATGACGTTGCGACATCCGCTGGTGTCGTATGTAGTCCACGTGATTATGAAAAGTGATTTGAAAGAAATGTTGAATAAATCATCGTGCCCGTCTATTTTTTATTTATGAACGAATACAGTCACTAGTTCAGACTATACAGAATGTCCCAGGAGGAAAACTCAATATTCTGGGCGGTCATTCTTCATATTGCTAGTGAGGTGGGACAAAGTCCCTTGTACTGCGGCCACTTCTGGCCTGTTGTACCAGCCCCAGCTGACAGGTGAGGGTGATTGTGGAGGAATTGGTGGAATGAAGATTGGCAAGGGAAACCGAAGTACTCGGAGAAAACCTGCCCCAGCGCCACTTTGTCCACCACAAATCCCACTTGAACAGACCCGGGATCGAACCCGGGCCTCCACGGTTAGAAGCCAGCAACTAACCGCTTGAGCTATTGCGCGGCCTCTGGATGGTCATAGTATTGGTCATTCTAAGCAAGAAACTGTATATGTACGTGTGTCCTATTCCGAACGGTTTCCGAGATTAAGCTGTTTCCTTGTACAGATTCAAAACTGTTGATAAGAGATATTACATTTTTTTTTTCCTTGGGACTACAGCCCCAGTGGGCCTAGGCCTACCTCCATGAATTTCTCTGTTCACTTCGGTTTTTCCAGATCTTAAACATACGGTAGGACCCCCTGGGCGAGTGATCAGCTCGTCGCAAGGCCTCTACCTGTAGACAAACACAGAAAAAAGCACACAAACATCCATGCCCTGAGTGGGATTCTAACCCACGATCCCGGCTTCCGAGCGAGCGAAGACAGTGCATGCCTTAGACCGCTCAGCTACCGTGACTGGCAAGAGATATTACATACTGTTTCTAATAAAGTTAAAAAGTGAAGTTGTCCTTTTGCATAACTAATTAAGCACTAGGTCATGAAGGCGTATGGGGAAGTGGTTATATAGATCCACATTTACTTGATGTCGGAACTAGTTGGAGGTGAGTGGTCAGTTTCACGCCCCTGCCGCTTTACCCCCAGATAAAAATCCCCCGGTAAACATTGAATAGGAGGCTGGGTAGGCCCAGAGCCGGTCTGAACGACTTGGAGAAGAGAATATTATTGACCCTACCGGGACTCGAACCCTACTCCTCGATCGTCTAACCCGTAGCCAGTCGCTATACCGACTGAGGTATCCCGGCTCCCCACTCTTCCTAATGCCAGTATTTATGGTTCAAGTGACAAAATTGGTACAGTTTACCTAGTATAATACATTTCCGAAAATTCCTCCCTCAGTATCAATGCACTCTGCAACTCGTGTGAGGACATGACGTGTTGCTCGTCTGTACAGTGCAATAGCTCTATCTCGGAAACAGTTCGGAACAGGACACATCTACATATACATTTTTTTGCTTAGAATGGCCGATGATACTATGGGACAGCCTCTGTGGTCAAGTGGTCATAGTTCCTGCCTACATATCCAGAGGTCCCCGGTTCGATTCCCGGTGCTACCAGATTTCTGATAAGTAGTCTGTCTGGGACAGGGTCCACTCAGCCTCGTGAGGATAATTGAGGAGCTATTTCAAGGAAATAGCGGTTCCGGTCTAGAAAACCGAGATTAACGGCCGTGGGGATCCGTTGCGCTGACAACGTGACACCCTCTATCCGCAAAAAAGTTGGCATTAACTTCGCCGACAAGCGGCGGTCGCTCGGTCGGTATAGTTCGCTTGCGGACTAAAACAACGGAGTTTGTTTGTATTTTGTTATATGTTTCAGCCAATATCGGAAGGCAACGAGCAATTTAAGGGATTGCCTTCTGATGATGGCCATCATTGGCCGAAACATGTAAAGGCCTTATTTTATTATTAAAACCTTTGTTGCATTTGGTGTTGTTTTCGTAGTTTTACTTGTACTTATGCCGGCGAGTGATGCCGACAACTTCACCGCCGTCTGTGAGCAGACTGTCTAGAAAATGTGGGAGCCTCGACATCTCACAACCATATGGGCCTTCACGACCCGTTACAGCGATAGATGTGCCCTTTTTATTGTTAATAAATAGGAATTCTGTACGAATCAACTTTTGTGTTGAGAAGTATCAGCACGGAAGCGTGACAAGGTTCTGAATGTCTACCAACCAGTGCTTCTATGCGGGGCAGGTATAAAGATCAGCTGGGGTAGTTGATGAGCCCCTTGGCTCTTCGCCTTACCCTCAATACCTGTCCTTCCGTCTGTCACAATTACTTCGCAATGTCGCGGTCCTCAAGTAGCTTCCTCCAACAGTAAGAATTTTCTGTACGGTCCGGCCACCAACGTCCATTCAGTCCTTTGAATTGTTGCGCAGATTAAAGAATAATCGTGTCAGTAGTTTGAACTCACTGTGACGTCAGTCTGTTTTCTGCGAGGTTCGCTAAAAATTGCCTACTGCGCGATGTATTTATTTCTATTTTTTTTACTGTATGTTTTCTTGTGAGCCGAGATAGCGCAGTCGGTATAGCGACTGGCTACGGGCTAGACGACCGAAGGGTCGGAGTTCGAGTCCCGGTAGGGTCAAGAGTTTTCTCTTCTCCATGTCATCCAGACCGGCTCTGGGGCACACCCAGCCTCCTATCCAATGGGTACCGGGGGCTTTCCCCCGAGGGGTATAGCGACCGGGGAGTGAAGCTATCCCCTCACGTCCAGCTAGTGCCGAGGTCAAGAAAATGTGGATCTATACATCCACTCCCCCATACTCCTCCACGGCGTAGTGCTTAGTTAGTTAAGCAGAAGAATAACTTTACGTTTTACTATCTATTTTGTAAAAGGGCCGCATGGATTAGATGAAGCCCTCCCAGTTGTAATATAAAAATATCACCACAACATAGCCCCCCCCCCAATATTGAATCAATTTTTTTTTCAGCTGCAGCCCTTGTAAAGTTAAAATCAAAATTAATTCCCGTCACATGTGGTAAAGCCCCGGCTCAAATTCTCTCCCCATGCTCATAACAAAGTCCACTTCCTAACACTTTACCCTTTTCACTTCCTACAACATTACCCTCTCAAACTTAATCTACTAGAAAGAGTAGCGGGCATTGCCTGGGAACCTTCAAAACTGGAGGAAAATATTCCCCTTCCTGCGTTTTGATGCAGCGTCTCTCACTAACCCTTCCCCCAACTTTCACACCCCTCTCTTCCTAAAAGAACTACTTTTTTTTTAGAAAGGAAGTGAATCTACGGTTCTTTGTGCCCATATTCAACATGATAAGTTCATGACTGATTGTGGCTTTGGCAGGGATATAGATCACTGTTAGTAGCTACGAACAGGACCAGAAATTGTTTGCAATAGAGAGTAGCGGATGTAACTGCGCTTCAGTCAGTCTTATATTCTTGACCAATGATGAAAAAGTTACGTAGTAAGCATATTCAATGGAACTGTGATTTCAGAGTGGCCCTCGATGGCTACGATGTGTGATGCTAGATCGATCGGAGCCCCCTAGAAATACTGTTCTTCCCACCGTTCTCTCTGCAGTTGAAACGTGACCAGGAATCCTTCTTGGAGGTAAAGGGCNTATAAGCCCGAAGGTCTCGGGTTAGTTTCCTGATGAGGTCAGTGGCTTTTTCAATTGACCTAATCCTTCCAGCCGCACTATAGCCCTGGGGTCGATTCAGCCTCTAACAGAAATGAGTACCAGGAATCCTTCTTGGAGGTAAAGGGCGGCTGGCGCACAAGGCTCAACCTTACCTCCATCTATGAGCCGATTGTCTAGAAAATGTCAGAGCCTCGACATCTCACAACCCTGTGGACCTCCACGGCCTGTTACAGGGATAGCTTTATCTCTTACATTTCATTTAGAATCGCACGCAGTCTCCTTGCTCTGACTCAGCTTACCTGCTTTGTGCCCACAGCCATAATTTCTCTCATTTCTATACACTGGCAAAACAAAAAGAATAAGTAAGTAAATGAAGACAAGAAGTCCTGGGATGAAATGATTTTTTACTTTCCTATAATACGACACGATCTCATAGAAATGGAGAAATTAGGAAGGGGGGAACAGACACACAGCAGCGATATAGGAGGGGCAAAACAAGTCAATTTCATTAGCCTCAAAAGTAAAGACGGAGGGGGGGGGCAGAGCAATATGGTCTCATAAGCCTCCTTTTACTTTTTTTTTTCAAAGTAAGGAAATTTGTCAAAAAAGATAAGGTCCTTTACAAAGGCCTCGGATGCTCCTATCCTTCTCATAACTTCCGATTGGTGCGCTCAGGGTTCCTATCCTTCTTATAACTTCGATTGGTTCGCTCAGGGCTCCTATCCCGGCCGTCCGTACCATTTTTTAATAAATACTACTTACTCCTCTGGGACAAGTCTCCACGTTTTCCATAACGCCCGCTGGAATAGAACTGAGCTGAGGACACTAGGATCACCAATGAGCAGGTCACTAGCACCATCAGCATCACCACGCTGCTCGTGGAGGTCATGGCCGCTGCAAAGGAAAAACAAAACAGCTGTCACTTTTCCAACAAACAGCAAATCGGACTGAACACACTACAGAAAATACTATTTTAATTGAGTTAATGAATTGTCGCTTTTTAGCGCGTTTGAAGAATTCATACTACTTTTTTTTTTTTCGATTTACGTTATGATCTTCTCTGCAACCTTGCTCATGTTTGTTTCCTTTACTCTCTCAGAATCTCGTAGTGTACGTGTATTCAGAAAACGGCCTTCTGGATTCAGACACTTGCAGTCTCGTATATACATACCGACGATTCGGAGGAACACATTGCTTCTTTCATCAGTGTTGAAGTAAGTAGGGTGAGGTATCTGTTGGGTTGTAGACCTGTAAGCATATAGGTGGTCACCCACACCCATGGGACAGGTCCTGCGGCGCTGAGTAAAATCCTCCTTGTAACCACGGTTCAATTTAAACTTAAGTGTTGAAATATATACGACCGCCTCTGTGGTCTAGTGGTCAGAGTTCGATTCCCGGCGCTACCAGATTTTTTCTGAGAAGTAGTGGGTCTGGAATGTAGTCCACTCAGCCTCGTGAGGATAATTGAAGAGCTATCTGAAGGAAATAGCGGCTCCGGTCTAAGGAACCAAGATTAACTGCCGTGGGGATCCGTTGCGCTGAACACGCGACACCCTCTATCCGCTGAATTTGGCACTAACTTCGCCGACAAGCGGCGGTCGCTCGGTCGGTATAGTTCGCTTGCGGACTCAAGCCACGGAGTTTGTTTTGTTGCAATGTATACAGTTTACTGCAGAGGAAGAACTAATTATTACAGACACACTAGGGTACCAAGGCAGTCCTTGCGTGTGGTATGTGAGTTAGTAAAGGCCGACAGATACTTCGCTACGTGGACTAGCGGAGCATGGCTACCGTGACTTCGTGACAATTAAAATAAGCATGCACACGTCATTTCATTTGATTTAATCCCACAAAATTGCAGGCTTTTCTGCGGTTATATTTGCAGTCACGACCGAATGTTAACGTCAGGTTCCGTTGCTAATCCACTCGCGGCGCCGCTAGACACGCGCTCGAATTATTACAACCTGTTGCAGACCCAACTCTGTATAAGACAAAGGCGAGCCCATCCCTGTGCTTAATGAATTAAGCAGCTGTTCATGAAACAATATGGGGGAGTCCACGTGTATCGTCTGCAGTATTAGCCACGGCGTTTGATGGAGGTGCCGATCATAGTGGACTCGCAGTACAAGGCATAAATTGTCTTCGCTCGCTCGAACGCTGGGTTCGTGGGTTCGGATCGCACTCAAGGCATGGATATCTGTATTGTGTGTTTATTGTGTGTTGTTCTATGTGTAGCTAGAGAACTTGCGACGGGCTGATCCCCCGTCCAAAGAGTCCTACCGATTGTGTATAGAATCAAAACACTTAAAAAATCGGCCAAGGCCCAACTATGGGTTGTAGAGCAATAATAATAATAATAAGTAAAGTATCCCTGTAACAGGCTGTGGAGGACCATATGGTTATGCGACATCGAAGCTCCGACATTTTCTAAACAATCGGCTCACAGATGGCGGTAAGTTTGTCAGCCTTAAGCGCCGGCCGCTCTTTACCTCCAGGAAGATTCCTGGTACTTATTTCTGTTAGAGTCTGAGTCGACCCCAGGGCCAGAATGTGACTGGAAGGATTAGGCCAATTTAAATGAAACAAAACATGGCTTCTCAAGAAAGAAATATGCCGCACTGTTGACCGTCATCATTATCATAACATCACTTTGTTTAGCCATGGCCTGCCTTATAAGGTTTTGTATTCACATCTTTCGATTTCGCAACAGTATTTTTTTACAGAGCAAGGTCGACAAGCTTGCGCCCAACCTGGAGGAGTGTTGACCCTAAACTATGATATTGATATTTATCCACACGAAAATATATATAGAGTACGCAGTAATCTTCTTGCAACCGTATGACGTTTATGAACTATTTTCTTTGCTAAAGAAGGTAATAATAACAGATTCTCATCAACAGGTAAATGATTTTATCACAATGTTTATGATTAACATCAGAAGAAATTAAAATGTACTCGAGTAATTGGAAAAAGTACGACAATTCGCCTCGCATCCACGAAATGCAAACCAATATACCCTCACTGCCATAGCAGCCAGGGATATTGTGCAGACTGGAAATAGTGTACAGTAAATTTCATAAAATATTTGTGTGTTCTCTATTCGACTCACAGTAGGAAACAGGAAATTGACAGGATACTGGGTTGGTTCCCAAGTTCCAAGTTACTACTGCCTACTTCTCATGCAGCCCTCATGAGTTAAATTAATAAATTAAACCCTCTGGCGTTGAAGGCCCTCAGATTAATTACAAAAATGATACCATTCGATCAGAAAATCAAAATTTTTTCGTCATTATCCATAATGGTTCACAAAATTTACTACATAATATGAACCAATAAATACGAACACCCAGGCTAGTCAGAAATGCTCAGATCCTGGACAGCGTTCCTGCATGAAGCTGACGTACCAGGCAGTTGGTTCGATATGTCTCCCAAATTTCTTTCTCTCTCTCACTCACTCGTGGAGCTGAGCTTTTCTTGAGAGGCCGCCAATTGTGCAGCTACTCAAGAACTTCCCAGCATTTTATGGAACCCGAAGGTTCATTACAGTGTTCACAAGAGCCCTCTACTGGTCCCTATCCTGAGCCAGATCAATCCCTATCGTCTTATCTCTCTAAGATCCGTTTTAATATTATTCACACACCTACGTCTTGGTCTTCCTAGTGGTCTCTCTCCTTCTGGCTTTCCCACCAATATCCTATATGCATTCCTCTTCTCTCCATTCGTGCTACATGCCCTGCTCACCTCATCCTCCTTGATTTGATCCTTCTAATTATATTTGGAGAAAAGTACAAATTATGAAGCTCCTCATTGTGCAGTTTTCTCCAACCTCCTGTCATGTCATCTCTCTTCGGTCAAAATATTTCTCTCTCACACACACACACACACACACGCACACAGAGGAAATTTACGTTTTTATATACGTCTGAATGCTTTATGAGAGCTGAAATCCTCCTATGACACTCTTGCCCTAAAGACTGGCAATGAGCCGAGAGCTTGGGGTACATAACGTTTCCGGATGTTTTGTTTTGCTGTTCTGTACCCCCGCAGAGGCAGAGAGATCTGCTGGAGCGTGATACAGCCCACAGTCACAAATTCCTCTGCTGAGTGACCCCATCAGGGCCACAAATATAACACTACATACAGCTGGGTGAGTCCTCGAGAAACTAACATCTACCCAGATACCAAAAACGAATTGCAATTTATAAAACCGAAGGTTCGTTACAGTCTGCCACTTGTTTCTATCCTGAGTCATGTGAGTGCAGTCCACACCCTCCCATCCCATTTTTATAATCCATTTTAGTATTGTCACTCGTATGTGTGTGACTATAGACGGGGTTGTTTTATTGGACATCGGATTTATGACCACTTTAACACATACCTCGTAATTACACTCAATTATAACACCATCGCATTGCACTACAGCACACGATAGGTCTTTTCCAGGCTTCAGTTTTTTCACTAGACGCTTCCAGGCATCGGCTTCTAACAATGGCTGTTCCTCTGCTTCCGGGTTTAAGTACCCTCTGATCGGCGGCTTCTTTCCAACTGAACTGTTCTTCAAAGTCTAAAGTCACATTGCGACTGACGATCAGTCAGTAAGTCTTGGTGTCGAGCCACATCTGGGTCTCATGACCAGATATTTATTACTGTTTGACAGTTACGGTCTTGTTTTTGTGGGGCGTCCTCTCTGACGACAGGACGGGTCTGTCTCTCATATACGCTGTTGGCCCTTGCAAGCGAGTCTTTCTCGGGTCCCAGTCCCTTGGTACTCGCGACCACAGACATCATAGAAATGATTCGAACATCATAGAAATGATTCAAACTGGGAAACTTTGGCTCGGCGCAGAGAGATAGCTCGCGAATGTCCTCTCTACAAAGCATACACGAGAGAACGGGCATGGGAGGCTATAGGTGATAGATTAGGAAGACCATGCTATCTGAGCAGGGTAGATCATGAAAGGAAAATTAGAAGCAGAAAGCAAAAGACAGATATCGGGAAATATTCCTTTGTAAATAGGATCATCCAGCTCTGGAACCAACTGCCTGCAGTTGTTTTAGGGGCTCGCTCCTATAAACCAAATAATTTTAAAAAAAGCGTTGGGAAAGCTATACATAAGGCTAAGTTAAAAGGGGGAATCATCTAAAAGGCAGGTAAGTGAAGTGTAGCGTAGGGTAGAGAAGGGAATTAATTAGTATTTTATTAATATTAACAATTTTATTTATTCTATTAATTATTGACATAATGTATTCATTCTGGATAGTATGTCAATGGTGTGTCATTGTGAGTTTTGGGCGCTGTGTTGCATTCATGCATTGTGTCACTTTGTGACTTTGTGTTATTTTACTTGTTTGTGTTATTTGTTTGTGAGATGTATAGCTATTTGTATGTTGTGTCTTGTAGACCACTGCCACCGGGTTAAAACCCATTTGCAATTAGAATCAATAATAATAACAAAAATATTTTACTGTCTCAGATTTGAGATTTCCCTTTTCGTTGCCTCCTACATAGATTTGCATTTCTCGTTTGTCCCATGCGTTCTACACGATCCCTCAATCTCATTCTTCCATGATCCATTATTCTAATAATATCTGGCGAGAGGCAGAAATTGTGAAGCTCCTCATTATGCTATTTTCTCCCTCTTACTTAACTCCTTATGTACATATATGTTGATACTGTTGGACTGACAACTCACAGAGGCCACTTAAACGCAGGATTCCATGAAATTCCATGCAGTGTTCACGGCCGCATTTATCTGCCTTGTATTTTGCTAGTTTCTAACATCATAAGTATTTTATGCAAAAATCTATTCGTGTAAATTGTTATTAGTTCATGTAAAGTTTTCTTTTATATCTCCATGTCAGAAGATGGCCACATATGGCTGGAACTTGTCATT